AAAAAAAAATCTAATGGCACACCTCGGGCTCATTCCAGTGCTCCGGAGGTACAAGATGAGAAAAATCACTCCTCTGTGGGCCTGTCTTCTGCCCAGAAACACAGTTCCACCTCGGCCTCTGTCTCCTGCCTGTGGTCCCTCTGTCTAATTCAGATAATGGAGATTTCTGCAGCTCTTGATCCAAACACTGTGCTCATCATCCCTGTTCCCTTATTCCACCATGCAATGTCATCAGGCATGCTGAGTATTCTGGTTAAGTGCCAATGATTATCACCAAATGAATTGTGAAAACCTGTTATAGCTACAAGTGTGTGTTCATAACATGGTATAAACAAAGAAAATTTGCAAGTTCTGCTAACATTAACTGGTTTCCATTTTCGCTCCCTGTTAATGTTTGGGCCCTCAGCAGAAACGGTTCAAAACAAAAAGAAAAAAAGATTTCGTCTGTAAAATGTCATGTAATCATGTGATAGGTTAAAACGGGCCCCGGGACCCCCGTGGGTGCAGCTGAAGGCGTTTGTAAGCAATGAAACCTACTGCTGTTATTACTGCCAGGGCAGCTACAGTATACATTGTCCATGTGCCAAAAGCAGATGAAGATTCTCCATTGGCACGAGAGCTGGTAGGGCCGTTCTGCATGAAAGGCTGTAGACATAAACACATGTCAGTGAAGCTGATTAATTTACTGGCAATTCTCAGAGATGTTATCAACATCACGATTGCCATAGCCTGCAGTACTTACACACTGCTGTACGCGAAGATGCACATCTTCCCCTGCAGACCGAAACAGCTCCACTGCTGCACTGTGAGACAGATAGTCCAACTTCTGGCCATTTATCTACACAAAAAAAACAATGAAATGTACACTATTCATTTTAAAGTAGTCATATCAAGACTATTTTACGTCATAAGGGTCAATTTTTCTAAATTGCGATGTATACATCATCTGAAAGCTGAATAAATACGCTTTCTATTGATGTATGGTTTTGTTAGGATAGGACAATATTTGGCTGAGAAGCAACTATTTGTAAAAAATCTGGAATCTGAGGATGCAAAAAAAAAAAAA